TCTCAACGATCGACCAATATGAAGAGGGGGCATCCCGTATTCTACTCAAGATGGTAAGTTACTTAAGTTTTTTTTTTTTTTTTTGTTAAATTCATAATCTTTGGCTTTGTTTTTTTGTTCTCTGTCAAAGGAAATTGTTATGGTAGTTTGGTTTGCCATTGAATTTATGCTTCGTATGTGGTCGGCTGGTTGTCGTTCCAGGTATCAAGGATGGATGGGTCGGCTTCGTTTTTTACGCAGTCCATTCTGTGTTATAGGTTTGTTTATTGATTGATTGATTAAATAATGATTATTGATTCTTATTCCTTTTTACTTGATAGATTTGATTGTGATAGTAGCTTCCACTGTAGTACTTTCATTGGGCAGTTCAGGTCAAGTGTTTGCTGCATCGGCATTACGTGGCCTTCGTTTTTTTCAAATTTTACGTATGGTTCGTATGGATCGTCGTGGTGGTACTTGGAAATTATTAGGTAAGGATATTCACTCAATGATGATAATAATAATAATATTTCTTTTATCTTTTTTCTCGTAACAGGATCTGTTGTATATGCTCATCGACAAGAATTAATCACAACTGTTTATATTGGTTTTTTGGGTCTAATTTTTTCATCATTTTTAGTATATCTTTCTGAAAAAGGTGTTCATCCTGAAAAATTTAACAATTATGCTGATGCCTTATGGTGGGGTGTGGTTAGTATTCGATTTGATCGATCTGATCTGATCGATTGATTGATTGATTGGTTGAATAATAATATTCGATTATTATTATTATTATGCAGATAACATTAAGCACAGTTGGCTATGGTGATCTTGTTCCACAAACATGGCCAGGAAAATTAGTCGCATCATTTTGTGCATTATTAGGCATCTCATTTTTTGCCTTACCTGCCGTAAGTAGTAATGACAATTGATTGATTTCCATCATTGATTAATGAATCTTTTTCACATTCTATTCAACAGGGTATTCTTGGATCCGGTTTTGCGCTCAAAGTACAACAACAACAACGACAAAAACATATGATACGAAGACGTGTTCCAGCTGCAACATTAATACAATGTCTTTGGCGTTGTTATGCAGCCGATGAAAATTCAATGTCAATTGCAACATGGAAAGTTCATCAAGTTCCATTGCCTAGTCCGTCTGTGTAAGTTTTTTTTTTGCGTTTTTAATCGCAAATCTAATCGCATATTTGAATGGGTTGTTTTTATTTTGAAAAAAACAACCAATTTTATAGCAGTTTTAAGCACAATACATCATTTGTGAGTCGTTTTTCAACAATTCGTCGTTCACATAAATCAGCAACACATTCACCATTAACACGTTCTGGTGGTCGTTATGGTGGTGGTGGTGGTAATAATGGTGGTCAAACACCTGGTCCTGGTCAATCAACATTTGAAACATCAGCAAGCAATATACGTGAAGATTCATTAATCAGTACAACAATTGGTGGACGTGATTCACGTTTACCTGGAAGTGTTAGCGAAGATAGTGTTATTGCTAAAGAATTATCTGAATTTTCTAAACGTAATTCTGATGGTGAGTATATGATAAAAAATTGAATTTAAAAAAAAACAGAAATGAAATTTTGGTTACAAAAAAAAAAGAAAATGAACAAATCGATAAGGAAATAGGGTTATTGTTGTTGTTGTTTGATGTATAAATCAAAATTTGTAATCAGAATTTGTTATTCTGTGATAACACTTATACACAGAGAATAGATTGGACAGACAGGATGATATTGAGAATAGTGGTAATAATAATAATGATGATAATAATGGTGGACAGCAACAACAACAACAACAACATCAATCGACAACAGAAGGAATGCCATATATAAATCTATGTCAAATGTTACAAAAAGAATATCAAAATCCACCATTTTTAACATTAACACCAACATTTTTTCATGGTCATCATAATCAAAATTTTCCATTATTTCCAACATCGACATCAACAGCCACCGCATCAGCCATTCGTTCATATTGTCAACCAACATTGTTTGATGCGGTCGATCATCAACATCATCAATGTTCAGGTTCGATTCTATCACTATCTCTATATGTGTGTGTGTGTTTCGGCTCTCTTTTGCTAAATAATATTTTCGGTCCTGATTAAAAAAAAAATTCATCACACCAAAACACATTTGCACACCAAACTCTCTCTTCTTTTTTTTTAGTGTGTTTCATTTTTCCATTTGATTTTTAATTTATCCCTGATGCATCATCCTTATCTAATCTGTTTTGTCGATTTGCTTAATCCAATGTTTGTTTGTTTGTTTGTCTGGTTGAATTTTCAATTTACAATTTTGTTTTTTCACTGCCCCAAAATCAAACGATGCTTAATCATCTAATCAAATTTGGATTGTTAATTGGCAATGGCTTTTGTAAAAAAATCAGGTTGTTCTGATAATCAACAACAACAACAACAACAAGAAAATAGTAATAATAATCAAATGATGAGTAGTTTCATCTGTTCTGGTTCATTTTTTCCATTCACCATACCAAACAATCAACGAAGACAACAACAACGACAACATGTTGGCAGCTTTGCAAGTTCATTTGATGATGATAATGATTTTGATGGTACATTGTTTGGTAAGCAACCAAAATCAAAGTTTCTTTTCACCAAAAAAAAAACAATGCTTTTCCTTCGACTATCTTTTTCCGGCTATTTTCTCTGTGTACAGTTGCATTTCCTTTTTGTTTCCGAAAAAAAATCCAACATTAATCACATACCTGAACCAAAAAAAAACTATGGACATTTTCATGGTCTTTCTCTCTCTCTCTCTCTCTCTCTATATCTCTTTCTCTTTATTCAAATCATCTCACTTTCTTCTTTCTCATTTTGCTTAACATTTCTATTATTATTCCATTTACAATTGGCCATTTTTTTTTTTGTTTACTATTTGACACGGGCACAAACATATATACACAAACACGTTGATGTTGTACACTGTTGTTTCAAATTTGATCATTTCAACAGAAAAAAAAGTTGACAATTGTTATCTGATAATCTGTTATCTGTGAAATTTTGTTGTTGTTTTTTTTTCTTCTATAATATAGATGATGATATTGAAGAACATCAGCCAAGATTTACAGTATTAACTAAACAACATAAAAATGCTATTCGTTGTCTTCGTAAGGTGAGTTTGTTTTGAATTTGTTGTCCATTAATTTCATTTCATTTTTCATCATTTAGATTAAATATTTTGTTGCAAGAAGAAAATTTAAAGAAGCATTAAAACCGTACGATGTTAAAGATGTTATTGAACAATATTCAGCTGGTCATGTTGATCTATTAGCCAGAGTGAAAAATATTCAAACCAGACTGGATTCAATTCTAGGTAAAGTCGGATCAAAAGCTAAAGATGTTTATGAATCAAAAGTTAGTTTAGCATCACGGATTGTTAAAGTTGAACGTACTGTTGAAGATATTGAAACAAAATTAGAAAATCTTTTGGAAATGTATATGGAAGATAGAAAATTACGTAAAAATCAACAACAACAACAACAAATGCAACCACCACCATCACCACCTCAACCACCTTCATCACAATCATATCGTTCATGTGATTATGGTGGATGTTTTGATAATGATTATCGAAAAATGCATCATTCATTATCGCAGCAACCATATTATCATCATCAACAACACCATCAACATCATCATCAACAACAACAGCAATATCACCAGCAAATGTCTTCAAAACAATCACCAAAACAACAACAACGAAGCTCAAATATTCCGAATTGTTCCATTCCTGATGATAATGTTGATAAAGATGATTCTGTTGTTGTTGTTGATGTTAAAGATCGTGCAATAACCAATCAAATCGATAATATTCTAGCCAATTTACCATGCCAATCATCATCATCATCATTATCATCTAAATCAATAACTGCCATAACCACAACCAAATCATCAATTGGTCATCATCAACATTCATATCATCATCCGTCCTTGGATATCAATGATGATGATGATAAATTGATTTGTCCAGAATCAAAAGCATTATCACCACCAGCAATAACAACAACAACAACAACAACAGCGACAACAACAACAACAACAACATCATCATTGTTTTGTTTATGTACACCGAATAATTCAACAATGACAACCCAAACAATGACAGTTGCAACTGCATTCGGTAGTCAACAAACAAAATGTCTGAAATGTTCAAATATGAATCAAGAATGTGATTTATGTTCAATTAAACAATTTATCGATGATCAACAACAACAACAATATCCAATTGATTCATTGATTATGGCTGAAGATAATCATCATTCAACTAACACATCATCATCGACGGCGGCGGCGACGACTATGACCGAATTAATATCATCTTCAAACAAATCCACTTCGACAACAACAGCAACCAATAATTTGAACAACAACAACAAGGTTTGTTTCAATTTCAATTCAAACTTGATTAGATTTTTTTTTGTCAATGTTGCTTGCTTGATTTTTTCGTTTGTTTTTGTTTTTGGTTTTGGTTTGAATTATTAATTTTATAAAATTCTTACAAAAAAATGAATCATAATCCTAACCATAATATCTTTTCCTTTTTTTATTTTTACCATTTGTTTTTCTTTGTGTGATGTGCTTGTTTGTTGTTGTGTGTGTTTTTCCCTCATTTATAACTGTCCTGTTTGTTAAAAATCTGATGATGATTGATAATTTTCAGTATTATGATTGTTGTCAATTATTGTTGTCAGATGACAATGGAACTACAACAACAACAACAGCGACAGCGACGACAACGACCACGTACAATCAATCAACATCGTCGTGTTGATTCGGTACCAACCAATCTACAAACAAATCGTTATTCAAAACGTAAAGTAACTATTAGACATTCATTGGATATTGTTTTACCGACATCTTCATTCGCTGAAGCAAATGTCGGACAACAACAACAGCAACGAAGAAACGGCAACATCAATGATAATTTACGAAGAATTTGTTTGGCTAATCTTCATCAACCGAATCAAACAACAGCAACGGATTATTCTACTCAACAACGTTTCGGAAGTATAACATTATTAGCAACAGCAACTGGATCAACACCAGCCATACAACTTGAAGTAAGAATTGAATGAAAACAATTTTGCTGATTGATTTTATTTAATCAAAAATTTTTCTTTCTCAATCAACTGAATTAGACTGAAGATGATTATCGTGAAAATTTTCATCGACAAATTCAACATTCAAATTCGGACCAAAGATTAACATCCTCATCATCATCATCATTTTATCAACAAAATTGACAACAACAAATTATGATATGAATATATTGATCTCAAAAAAATTGTTAGCAAAAACAGCACAAATCATGTAAAATATTAAGCCAAAAAATAATCCAATTGTTTTGTTTTGTTTTTCTGATTCACTTTGATGAATTCATTCATTCATCATACACCCAATTGTGTCTTGTCATTTTTTTCGTCTATGCACACTTATCTACTTACCTATGTATATTGGTATTTCTCAATTTCTTATTTATACTCATTCATTCATTCATTTCATTTCTATATGAAGTTTTTCAAGTGCTTTAAAACAAAAACAAACACAATCATCGAGGAAGGGGTTAAATTCACCTAATTTTTTTTTGTTTGATATGAAAATCTATGAAAATTTTAAAAAAATTTGCCAAAAATAATAAAATGAAATTTTGCAATTTGATTTTTGCCGGGTTTTTTCCATTTGAATGTTTTGTGCTTATCAGTGGCTCCATCTAACAATGGCTAAGTAAAAACTTCAAAATTCTGTGTTTACAAAATCCATTATTTTTAATTGAAAAAGATGATCCATTTTTTTGCGACGATAATTCCGATCGATTTAAATTTGATCGAAGGATGGATAATGATCAATCAATTTTGCTGATAATTTATGTGATTCAGCAGAAAATTATCGACAAGGTAATATAAATTAACTTTAGGCCACAAAAAAGGAAATTTCAAAAAAGGCGTGGCTTTAGTTTGTATTGTATCAGTACAAGTCATGTGATATTTAATCCTCCCTTTTTTTAATGTTTTTGGCTCCATAATATTTTTGTTCAAAGTTAACGTGCACATTTTGTTTTTCTTCAATTCCTAAATTATTGATTTTTTTTTGGTTAAATTGAATTTATTTTTGCTAAAAAATTCGATCTCGAATTATCGGATTGATCACGATGATGATTTAACACAAATTCCATTCGACATTTTGAATCCAATTCGAACAACAACATGACTGCAACAGATTTGCGAAATCCACGATCATCATCAATGACCACCGGTCATGGTGGTAATAATAAACCTGTTCAAAAAATGTCTGCATATGATTCAGAAACAATTTGGTCAATGTTTTTTTCAATAACAATCATTGTAACATGTATAAAATTCTTATTAATACCATCATAGTAAGTTATTAATATCACATTTGGCTATAATGTCTAATGTTAATCACTTTAGCTATTCAACAGATCTTGAAGTTCATCGTAATTGGATGGCAATCACTTTTAATAAACCATTATCCGAATGGTATACCGAGGTAGTTTGTTTTTTTCTTTTCAATAAAAACTTTTTTTTCTAACAAATTATTTTTCCCTCTGTGAATTTAGAATACTTCCAAATGGACATTAGATTATCCACCATTTTTTGCCTATTTTGAATATATTTTAGCATATTTTGCTCAATTTTTTGATAAAAATATGCTTCAAATTCGTCAAGATTCATACATGTCACCAGAAACATTATTCTATATGCGTTTAACTGTTATTGTAAGTGATCTAGTCTATTATTATGGTGTTTATCAATGGATTCAATTAATGTATCATCGACAACGAAATGTATTCGTATCCGTTCCAGTTATCCGACAACGTTCAAATTATTTTCTTTCATCAACATCATTCACTCATATTATGTTATTTTTATTCAATATTGGCCATATAATTGTTGATAATATTCATTTTCAATATAATGGTTTTCTAAATGGTTTACTTCTTATTTCAATGGCCAATATTTGTAATCGTCAAATTTATTGGGGATCATTTTGGTTTGCCATCCTATTGAATTTTAAACATATTTATCTTTATATGGCACCTGGTTATCTTATCTATTTATTTGTTGAATATTGTTTGATTCGTAATTCACGTGGTTTGATTACATGGAAAATTAATCTAAACGTTTTGTTACGTTTAGCTACTATAGTAATCGGTGTATTTATAATATCATTTCTGCCATTCATTTTAAATGGACAATTTTTGAATCTTTTAAATCGTTTATTTCCATTTCAACGTGGATTATCACATGCATATTGGGCACCAAATTTTTGGTCACTTTATAATGGTTATGATTTAATTATGGCACGATTTTATCGTACAACTGATCGTCAATCACCATATACTGGTGGTTTAGTTCAACAAACTGAACATTTGATTCTACCAACAATAACACCAACAATTACTTTAATTTTAATTGTTTTCATTCTAATTGTAAGCATTCTGTACTTTTCAAAAAAATCAAAATTTTAATTTTAATTTTTTTCCCCAGATCATTGCTGTTTCCTATATTCATCAACAACAACGACAACAACAAAAAAAAAATATTAATCGAATAAAATCACGATCAACATCGAATCAAAATTCTCATTCAAATTATCCATCTGAAATACGTTTTCTTCATCTAATTTTATTATCAAGTTTAACATTTTTTGAATTTGGTTATCATGTACATGAAAAATCAATACTTTTGGTTATACCAACAATATTACCATTAATATTTGTTAATATTGATTATGCACAAATATTTTTATTATTATCAATGGCTGGTTATTATTCACTTTATCCATTATTATTTAAAAATGCTGAATCATTATTGAAATTATTATTAATGGCCATACATTTATTGATAAGTTTTGGTACATTAAATAATCGTTATCGTATTATTAAACGTTGGTTATTGGACAAATATTCAACCACCACCACTGACCATAATGATGATGATGATGATAATGAACTAATGAAAGAGATACATAATGAATTTCGTCAAAATCCACCATTTTCATTTTTAAAATTACCATTGCTAAATGTATTGGAATCATTATATATTTTAGGTTTTCTAATTATTCATTTAATCTATACATTTGGTCCATATTTATTACCAGAATTATTGGGACAAAGATTTCAATTTTTACCATTATTATTAATATCAATTTATTGTTCAATCGGTATACTTTATTGTTATAATTGGTTGTTTACAATGTTTTTGTTTACATCATAATGTTGATGTTGAAGACAACATATTTATTTGGGATTAGATTTAATTGAAATCAACAGAACAAAGATTATCACAAATGTGATTGATTAATTTTTTTCGTTTTGAACATCTTTATTGATTTTTTTTTGTTGTCACTTTTTACAAGAAAATTTGATTAAAAACTTTTTGGATGATGATAAGATCATATGACACAACATTCTTTGAAATTAATTATCAAAAATCCAATTTAATAATTTATTTGATTATTTTTTTGTTTTTTGTAATTCGTAATTCCATGTAACGCCATCTTTTGATGATTTAAAAAAATTGTAACAAATATTATGAACAATTCATAAATATTATTATTAAGTAATCAATCATGCATCCGTCCATTTCAATCGCGATTCGATTACGAAATTTGTTGGTATTCAATCAAAAGTAATCAACAACATTTTTTTTTTTGAAAACAAAATTCGCTTTCATTTTCATTTCGATTCATGATTCGAACTTTCATTCATTGTCATTGGGTTTTTTTTCGTGATGGACAGTAAAAAAAAAACAACAACAAATTATATAGACATTGGATGATGATGATAGCAGTTCAGAAAATTTTTGTCATTAAAATTTATGTCATTCTCAATATGATCCATAAGACCACTACCGTTTGTCGAGGTTGTGTTGAGGATGACACATTTGATAATCAATCTATACACATAGTTAAAACAAAAAACGAAAAAATCAAAATCTATATCCTGATCTGATTTTGATTGATGAATTGTTTTTGGCTTTTTTTTCTGTTGTTGTTCCATAATCATAATGATTTTATAGTTGAAAAGTTTATCGAAATAAAAAAATTTTTTTTTCCATTGTATAAACTGAATTGTTCCTTTATAATGTAGATTTGAATTGGATAATAATTTTTTTCAGGTATTTTTAATTTTGACTCTTTTTTTGGTTCGGATTCAGGTGATTATATTTTGTTTTGAATATGGAATTGTTTCATTTTTTACTTTTCCAATGTTATCTTATAAAAGAATAATAACTGAGGAGAGGAAAAAACAAAAATTCTGTGGTAATTTTGGTGGTGGTGGTAGTTATGAATATTCTCTTCAATTATTTGGATCTTGAATAGCCCGAGCATGATCATAAAGAATCATGATCTCTATATTAATCAAGGGCAACAGTAAATATTCTTTTTTATTATATATGTGAAACAAAAAAAGTTTTCGATCTGGTTTCGAAAGCAAGCCGCTACCAGCTTTTCTTTGCTTTGAAAATGATGATGTTTGGTTGGTTGTGGAATGAGAACCATCGGAAAGAAGAATATAAAAAAACAAACCAGGCGCCCAGTAAATCGATTCCCGTCTCTCATTCACTCTATATAAATGATGAAAAGATTTTGTTTTTGGAGAAGTTTGTATGTGTGATGATAAAGAATAAGACGCCGAACTTTCGGATCGAATCGAACCAACAGAATTTGCCATACACACAACACAAACACAATCATCAACAACAACAACAACAATACTGACAGACCAATCATCATCATCATTCTGAAACCAGAATAATAATGAAATATACACACACACTGCACTCTCTCTCTCTCTCGCTTCCTCTATTCCAAAGCAAAGCAAGAATTGTTGTGTGAAGAAAAATGAGTAAAGTGAGTAGAGAAAAATATTGAATGAGTGAATCCAGAATATAAGAATCAAGAGTGGTGGAAGAAGTGAAAAAAATAATCATCATCATCAAGAATCTCAAAGTGTCATCATCAAGTGAGGACAATATATTTTGTTTTTCTCTTGTTATTCGTTTTTTATTTTTGATTATAAATCAATAATCAATAATATTACAAAATCAAATCAAATGAAATGATTATCATCATGATAAATTAATTATATTTGATTTGTAATCATTGATGATGATGATGATGATTATGGTGATGATAATGATCATCATTCATCATCATCGTTGATGGTGATGATGTTTTAAGTGAAGAATGATGATGATGATCCAAAAACAACAACAACATTATTATTTTAAAAAATCATCATATTCAAATTAGCATTCATTTTGTTTTGTTTTGTTTTTGGATTGAATGTAATCATTAATGTGTTTGATGTTTGTGTGATGTTAACTTCACTTCTCACCTGTTCTGATTGATTGATTGATTGATCAAACAAAAAACATGCTTTTTTTTCTTTTGAAGACCCTTAACACCAATTAATCATTATCATTGATTTGAAATTTGGGATTTTATTTGTAAAAAACTGATAAAATCAACGACCACGATCATTCCAAATACGATCCGAATATATAAGTGTGTGTGCGAATATAATATATACGCAAATGCTGCCAGTTTTCCATTTAACCTGACCTAACTTTCATTCATTCATCATTCATCAACCCAAAATCAACCAACCAAACATGCTTAAACCAAAGTGATCAACAAACAAGCAAACATCAAATAGTGAAAGAAAGTGGTCCAGAATTTTTGTGCCAAACAAACAAACAAAAAAAAACTTTTGAAACAAAACAAAAAAAGAATTCATTTGGCAACAGAAAAAAGAAATTAAGAAAATAAACAAAACAAGCTCAATCACTTTGTCATCATTAGTATCATCAAATTTTTTAAATAAAATTTACTGCGATAACATTTGATGAAACATTTTGGATCCAATCAGCATCATCATCTGTTTCTGTATCAACGACAACGTTGCCACTTAGTTTTATCCTTAAATTCAATCAAATCTTCATCAAAAAAAATTAAAATAAAATAATCGTTGTTTTCAGAGAGAAAAAAAAGGAAAAATACTTTCATTAATTAATTAATTTTTTGTTAAAAATCAAATCAAATTAAAAAAAATGGCCAACAATGTAAATTTATCAAGAATTTCTGGATCAACGATTGAAAATCCAAGTCCAACATCAGATTCAGGTGGTGGTGTACCATATGATCAATTTGGTCATGGTCATTATTTTTCGAAAAAAACATTCCATAAACCAACTTATTGTCATCATTGTACAGATATGTTATGGGGTCTTATTGGTCAAGGTTTTATTTGTGAAGGTTTGGCATTTGTGTTTGTAAATTTCAAATAAATTATTCTAATTTTTTTGTTCATTGAATTATTAGTTTGTAATTTTGTTGTACATGAAAGATGTTTAAAAACGGTTGTATCACCTTGTTCGACGGTTGCCACCAATGTGATAAAGGTAAATATGAATTGATTTGTTTTGATTGATTTTTGACTAATCAAAACCTGTAATTCAGAATCCTGTACCACATTGTTGGACTGAAGGACATTTGAAAAGAAAATTTTGTAATGTTTGCCGTAAAAGAATTGAAGATCAAAGTGCCGTACGTTGTGAAGTATGTGAATATTGTGTACATGTTGAATGTCAAGATTTTAGCGTACCGGATTGTAAAGAATGTGCCACCTATGTACCTGAACAAGAGCTCGTATGTTTAACATCAATTTTTTTTTAATTTGCATCCGAAAAAAAACTTAATCCTTTTTATTTTCAAAAAAATAATTACAGAAAGAAGTTGTTCAAACACATCATTGGCGTGAAGGAAATCTACCGGCCAATTCAAAATGTCATTATTGTAAAAAAACATGTTGGTCAACTGAATGTTTAGCCGGTATGCGTTGTGAATGGTGTGGTATAACAGCACATGCTGCTTGTTATCGTCATTTATCAATTGAATGTAATTTCAGTTGGTTACAATCAATAATGTTACCACCATTTGCTGTTAGCATACCACGTACTGATGTACCATTAGAAACTATTATCGGTGTTAAAAGTAAAAAAGAATCACAAACACGTAAGTTTTCAAAACAAAAAAAAATGAAATTTTCAAAATGCAATTTTTTTCTGTTCAGCACGAATAATACCGGATGAAACACCAGAATTTGATAGACGTGGTGATAAAGATTCGGATGAATTTCCATCACCAAAAGATAAAGATAAAGATGAAGGTAATTATAATGATGATTAATGAATATTTTCTAATTATAATTATAATTTATAAATATTTTTCATTTTTTTCATTAGAAACAATAAAAGTATTTGATGGTAATGCATCAATGAAACGTAAAACTTATCGTACGATAACAATATCAAGAAATGCTAATAAAGATCAAATAGTTGCTGCTTGTTTACGTGCATTTCATATACATGATGATCCAAGACATTATATTATAACTGATGCTTATGGTAACAATTATTCAATTGTTGAATTTAAACATATTCGTCTGATTTCATTTCATTATTATTTTATAGCTCGACCTGAAAGAGAAATTTCCGATTTTATGCCCGTACAAAGTTTAATTCGAACTGAAGGTAAACGATGTGGTATTTATTTTCGTTATAAACCACCTAATCCAGATGAAGGAGCTATTCGTGTTTATCCGGGACGATTAAAGTAAATTTTTGATTTTTTTTTGTTGAAATTTTTAGTTTAATAAAAAAATTGCAATTTTTTCATTAGTGTCACCGATACTTATCGTGTTATATCCGTTACAATCGATACCGGTGTTGATGAAGTTATGGTCGAAGCATTAGATCAATTTGGTTTAGATTCATCCGATTTAAATCGTTATCGTTTAGTTGAAGTGTCATTAGAAAAAGGATGTAAGTAAACACAGTTCTTTCCAAAATGAAGAATTTTTCAATCAATATTGATTTCTACGAACAAAACAATTAGGTGTTCATGAACGAACTATGGATAATAATGAAAGTCCATGGGCTATAATTAAAGGATTGGCACGGGTATGGTTATTGATCTAATTTTTCGTTTGTTTTTAATTTAAAAATTCTTTTTTTTCATTAAATCAATTAGGAATCAATAAGACAAAAAGAAAATACAAGATTCTATTTACAACAAGTTGATGAAGTTTATTGTTCAAATGTAGCTATATTTGTTGGTAATTTACCGGCTAATCTTTCACAACGTCATTATGAACGTATACTTGTCGATTTCCTTGGAAAACGTATGTTATTGTTTTTTTACGTTTGTTTGATGATTTTTACATACTAAACAATGATTTTTTTTTGAAAAATAGCATATAAATATCGTCAAATTGGTCCAATTTATTATGAATATGGTTCAATGATATTAACATATGATAATGCTGATATTGCTGTTAAAGCATATTATATGTTAAGAGAAAGTATTTATGATGATAAAAATTTATTAGTTTTATTATTACCAAATATAATGCCCGAAATGGTACCAAAAGGTGTTCGTGTAAGTATTTATTATTGATTGTTTATTTATGTTTAATGATTATTATTATCATTATTTTGTTTTCGCAAACATAGCCATTATTGGTATTTGTTAATGTTAAAAGTGGTGGTTGTCAAGGTTTAGAGCTAATTTCATCATTCCGTAAGCTGCTCAACCCTTATCAAGTGTATGACCTTGAAAATGGTGGTCCATTACCCGGGTATGTTTGTTTGATGATAATATTTATTATAATGAAATGGATTATAATTAATTACCTTGATTAATTTGATTTTAAATTTAGTTTGTATGTATTTCGTCATATAAAAGATTATAAAATATTAGTATGTGGTGGTGATGGTACTGTTGGTTGGGTTTTACAATGTCTCGATAATGTTGGTCAAGATTCAGAATGTCAAACACCACCATGTGCTATTGTACCGTTAGGTACGGGCAATGATTTAGCAAGAGTTTTACGTTGGGGTCCTGGTTATACCGGACAAGAAGATCCAATAACCGTATTGAAAGATGTTATCGATGCTGAAGAAATACGACTAGATCGTTGGACAGTTGTTATACATCAAGAAGAAACTGGTGAACGTCAATCATCAAATCAAGAAGATAATACAGCTATTATGGTTATGAATAATTATTTTGGTCTAGGTATTGATGCCGATCTTTGTCTTGGATTTCATAACGCAAGGGAAGAAAATCCCGAACGTTTCAATAGTCGGTATGTGATTTTGATTGTGTCGAAAATCGATTTACAATTAATCAATTTTCACTTTTCATTAGTTTACACAATAAAGGTGTTTATGTTAAAATGGGTTTGAAAAAAATGGTTAGCCGTAAATCATGGCAAAATTTTAATAAAGATATTCGTTTAGAAGTTGATGGTAAACATGTTGTACTTGATTCAAAAGTTGAAGGAATTATTATTTTAAATATTTTAAGGTAACTTGATCAATCAATATTTCGATCACTAATAAAACAAAAAAATTATATTTTGAAAAATTAGCTGGGGATCCGGTGCCAATCCATGGGGCCCAGAAAAAGATGATCAATTTTCTAAACCAAATCATTATGATGGTATGTTGGAAATTGTCGGTGTTAATGGTGTTGTACATATGGGACAAATACAGAGTGGTCTTAGCAGTGCAAAACGTATTGCTCAAGGTGGTCATGTAAGTTTTTCCATATAATATGTTCATGGTTGATTGATTGATTGAATGATTTTTTTCACTGGATTTTTTTTAGATTCGAATAAAAATTCTTACCGATATGCCAGTCCAAGTGGACGGCGAACCTTGGATACAATCGCCTGGTGAAATCGTGATACTTAAATCTGCAGTCAAGGTAATTTATTTTCAAAAAATTGAAGTTTTTTTTTAAAAAAAAATCACAAATTTTATTCTACGAAAAAAAACAGGCTACAATGTTACGTAAATCAAAAATGAAACGTCGTAATACGGAACCATCATTACCACCAGGTACAACAACTGGTTCCAATGAAGCATGTGTTGCAGGATCATCATCATCATCAACATCGATAATTCTGTCATCAACATCGACAACATCGACATTGTCGACAATAACAACTGCCACTGAATTTATGACTGGATTATCATCATCATCATCATCAACAACAACAACAACAACAGCGACCACAACTGGAACTGGAAGACGTTGTTTACGTGAAAAAGATGAATTTGGAAAATTAGAGAAAATATTTTCCGAAACTGAATGAATCGATCGATCGATTGATTTTTATTGATTTTTATTTTTTTCCATTAATTGTGATCAACATTACAAAAAAAAAAAATTATAAATATACATTTTACTTTGACTTTGACCTAATCCTGATCCAAGTTCATCTAATCGAGATATGATTCGAGCCTAAATTGAAAAAAAAATTCAAATCAAAGGAAAAGGATAAAAGGTTAAAATAATGATCAACCAAATAACTTAACTTGTTTCATTCGAAAAAATTAATTTCTTCATCAATTTTCATTTTTCAAATACATTTTTGTTTGAATTTTTCGTTCATCGTTCATCAATTGAAATGATAAATTTCAATTAAACAAAACAAAACAAAAAAAAATTCTTATAACAAATTTAACAAACAAACAAAAAACTTGTAAAATCTGCAAATGTTTTCTGATTTTTTTTGCATCATTTTTTTTTGTTAATGTTTTTTTTCGCTAACTTTTCTTTTCGTTTACCAATGATGTGAGTTACACATTTTTTTTGAAAAAAGGGTTATTTCATTGGATATAAATATTTTAAGAAAAACAACCGGATCTTCTCTCTTTCCATATATATAAATTAAATGATGTAATACCCCTTTAACACCTACCTACCCACAACCACATACACAATCTCAATCATCATCATCGATCATCATCATTATTATTATCATCAAAACTGTGTCATTGATTGATTACTTAAAATCATAATTTCCTTAATTAATTAATTGATTTGATTTTTTGTTTTTTTTTGTTCAACCACTATTGTTTAAATCGACAACCAAAAATGAATGTTTCAACCAAGAATATCAAACAAACCGAGAGAAATAAAAAAAAAATTCTGTTTTCAAAACATTCTGTATGTGTCTGTCGATGGAACATGTTGATGATTTCAATACTTTTTGTTTCAATCAATGAAAATTACCTAACCTCACCTTTATGTTTTTTTTTGTTTTGTTGTTTTCCAACAAGTGCGTGTGTGTGTTAATGTTGTTTTATTATTTGTATGATATTTTTTTTTCAAATAATAATAATTGAATTTAAAACAAAAACAAAAAAAAATCTTTGTATCTTTCTGTTGTTGTCAAAAATTCAAGTTTAAATTTTGACTTTTTTTTCTGAACAAGGTGACATCATGGTATATGAATTTGTTGTTGTTGTTGATGTCATCACATTGAAAACAACAACAACAACAACAAATCCTCATCCTTTATCCGTTATTGGCCATCGTATTTTCTTCAAATGATAATGACAATTTTTTTGTTGAATAGATCAATAGATTATGTCATTGATCTTTATCATTATAGATCATCAGATCATTTATAATAATATCTATTGAAATGATTCATTGATTTCTTCAGCCAAAATTCAATACAAATTTTCTCTCTTCTGATAAAAATAGAAACATATACACAATGAAAAATATTATAATCAAGGATTAATAGGAAATTGAATAACAATGTCACCAGCAATGACAATGACAAAGATAAGATTTTTCGGTGTCAGCTATATGTATGCATTCATTCACAACAACGAAAACATCAATGAAACAAAACAACAACAACAATGTCAATTTTTTCAATGAACTTGATGCATTCAACCAGTTGTTGTATAGTTGCCATTGTATTGCAAATGATCATTTTTTTTCGTTGAAATTTTTTGATGTTGATGGTGGTTTCCTGTGTTGTGGATATCGATGTTATAAAAGGTCTGTCATATTGGTCGAAAAAAATATTTGTTTCGAATTCGATTCGCCAACAACAACAACACAACAGACATTCGGCAGCAAAACCCCAAAAACCTAACAAAACAAAAACAAAAATAGTCATTTCGAATGTTTATTTCGGTTGTTATCGTATTCATTTCAAAATGTGTTTGGCTATTCATAGCAGTAGTGGAATCATCATCGATTTCAACTTCAAAATCAATCGATTTAGATAATTTTAATGAAATTAATAGTAATTTAAATAAAAATAATGTTGATAAACAACAATTTGATGAAACTGATCCAATATATTGGTATGTACAAGCATATCGTAATCTTCAACGACGACAATATTTATTACCATCATCATCATCGATAACAAATCGACCAGCTAAAAATGTAATATTATTTCTTGGTGATGGTATGGGTATCAGCACGATTACTGCATCAAGAATATTGAAAGGTCAACAACAACAACAACATGGACAATATCATCATAGCAATAATGGTGAAGAAGCAATGCTTGAAATGGATCTTTTTCCATTTACAGCTTTGATTAAGGTAAGTCAATTTAAGGTTCAATGTTTGAAAAGAATCCAAGTTCAAATTCTATTAATCAATAGACTTATAATGTTGATCAACAAATACCGGATTCGGCTGCAACGGCAACAGCATTTTTATCCGGTGTTAAAAATAATTTCAATACATTAGGTGTTTCAGCTAAAGTAAAGCGTAATGATCCGGATTGTGATTCTGTTCATCGTAATTCAATTGATTCAATATTTACCTGGGCATTAAATGCCGGAAAGGTGGCCGGTATTGTAACAACAACACGTGTTACACATGCAACACCAGCTGCTGCATATGCACATAGCCAAAATCGTAAATGGGAATCTAATGTTGATCAAACGATTATTAATGGAACATTTAGTGAAACGGATTGTAAAGATATTGCTTTACAATTGATTGAAAATGATCCGGGTAAAAGATTAAGTGTTATACTTGGTGGTGGCCGAAAAGGTTTTCTACCCGAAACGGTTAAAGATCCACGTGGAATTAATGGTGATCCAAATGGAAAATATGGTGAACGAAAAGATGGACGAAATTTAATTCTAGAATGGTTACAAAATCAACATTATTCGGGATTAAATGAATCAGAATATGCATATGTTAATAGTAGTCGTGGTTTACATCAATTAGATTATTCAAAAATGAAATCATTATTTGGTTTATTTAATTATTCACATATGGAATTTGATCGTTTACGTGATCAAAGTATTGATGGTGAACCATCATTATCCGAAATGACTGAAGCAGCTATAAAAATTCTATCTAAACATGATAAAGGTTTTGTTTTATTAGTTGAAGGTGGTCTTATAGATCAAGCACATCATCGTGGTTATGCATCATTATCATTACATGAAGTTTTAGAATTTGATCGCGCTATTCGTCGTGCAAGAAAATTATTATCCAAACAACAAGATGATACATTATTTTTAGTTACTGCTGATCATTCACAACCATTAGTTATTAATGGTTATTCACAACGTGGTAATCCAATTAATGGTTTATCTCGTCGTAAAGATGGTAATCAATTACCATTTACAACATTATCATATACAAGTGGTCCTGGATTTCAAACACTGCAACAACGTTCAAATATTACAAATATGGCTTTGGAACAAGCTGCACGTAAGTTTTTTTCTATGAATCAAAAAAACATCGAAATAATCTTTTCTTTTGAAAATTTTGATTTCTTTTTCTCTCAGTTGATCTTAAATATCGTTTTCATTCGGCTTTTTTAACAAAAAAATCACACCATTCAGGTGAAGATGTTGCTATATTTAGTAATGGACCAATGTCATATTTATTTGGTGGTACATTAGAACAATCATTTATTGCACATGCAATTGGTTTTGCTACCTGTATTGGGCCATATGAAAAAGAAATTCATTGTAGACAATCATTAAGATCAAAATTATTATCATTATCATCATCGACATCGACATCGACATCGAAAACAGGAAGAATATCGAATGCAGCATTGGCAATCATAATGGATACACCTGAAATGTTAATCATATTTTTTATTATTGCTGGTCTAATATTTTTCATTACAATATTGATAATTGTTCGTATTCTATGGGTTTAGTTTGATGATAAAAAAGTTGAATCCATTCTTGGTATAATTTCAAAAAATAGTAACCAGGATATATAGCAAGATTCAACCAACCAAACAACCACCACCATCATTGAAACACAACAAAATAATCAATTGCAATATACAATACAACTGAACTAACTAACCAACTGGTCGTCTGCATGATGAACATTTTTTTTCCACCCACCACCATTATATAGAGAATATATACTTCCTTTCCTTTTTTGCTACATTCACATCGTATTTTGTTTTCGCCATGGCTCGATTTTCATCATCAATTTTCATTGTCTCAATCATTCATATTATTTTTCTATGCTGCCATGTTTATTTTGATTTCCGAAATTCCACTACCAAAAAATGTTTTTTTTTATTCGTTTGTTTGTTTTTCATTTTCAATGTTTAATTATCACTGCAAAAACATTTGTTTATTTGTCATTTTACGTTTTTTTGCTACAATTTAATGTAGCTTGTATACAATAAAGCCAACTATTATGTCAAATTAACAGCAGTTAACAACAAATATTTTCTGATGTAAACAAATGCGCCTAACAATTAGCAAAAATGAAATGAAATAAGTTGTTGTTGTTGTTTCAACGGTTCCAAACAATATTCATTCCAATGAATTTTTAAAACATTCCATTTCTTTGTGAAATCAAAAATCTTTAATTCGTGAGCTTTTTATCTTCCAATTTTCTTAAATTATGCAATAAAACACTGAAAAAAAGGATTCCAATTTCCAAATAAATCGAAAACAACAACATTCTATCTGAATCATTAATTTCTTGTTTTTTTCAATTCAATCTTGCAAACTACTTATCAACTGACCAAGTATGTATTCATTCATTTTTGTTTTGAATTCAAAGAATGGTTCAATGAAATCAAATCATTGATATGCTGGTGGTGGTGGTATGATATTGATTATCTCCTTCACGTTACGATTGAATGATTGTTGATTGATTTGCTGTTGTTTTTATCATTGACATTTATCAATGATAAAATCAATCAATCGATTGATTGATTGGTGAAGAGGAAAAAAAATTTGATATGACATTTTTCTCACAAAGATACAAAAAAAGTGTTGACATTGTCATTGTCATTTGGAATTTAGAAAATTTTGTTTTTTAAGAAAAGAAAAGAAAAAAATGTTTGTTTTTATTGAATTTATTTAGTTTTTTATTTAAAGAATTTAATTTACAAATTTTTAAAAATTTAATTTAAAAAATAGATGTCATTCGAAGATTCGGATTATATTTCAGCCAATATTGTACCGATTAGAGATTTACCGGCTGATTTACGACAATCAGAACGTATACAACGTATACTGAATGAATATCAAAAACATTTTGGTCAATCATGTCGACCATTATTTTTGGTTCGTGTACCAGGTCGTGTTAATCTAATTGGTGAACATATTGATTATTGTGGCTATTCGGTATTACCAATGGCAATTGAACAAGATATTATGATGGCTGTTGGTCCAAACGATAAATCTGGTCAAATACATTTAGCTAATGTTGATAATCAATATCCGGATGTTACAATCAATGTAATGGATTTAGAATTTCCAAAATCAATAAAATGGTATCATTATTTTTTATGCGGTTATAAAGGTATTGTTGATAAATATTGTTCGATGGATGTACAATCGGATAATCAACAACAATTACCATCAATAAATGTTATTGTTCATGGTACAATACCGGCTGCATCTGGCCTTTCTAGTTCTTCGGCAATGGTTTGTTCATCAGCATTATCAACATTGATCGCTTATCATCAATCAATTTGTATGTATTTAGAATTAATCTAAAGATTAAACAAAAAAAAACATTTAAATAATCATACTTAATCTCATTTAGTTAAAATATCAACACCGATTCCAAAATTAGATATTGCATTATTATGTACAAAATGTGAACGTTATATTGGTACAGATTCCGGTGGTATGGATCAAGCTATTGCAATGTTAGCGGAAAAAGGATCAGCAAAAATTATTGATTTTATTCCACAATTAAATGCAACTAATGTTGATCTACCGGATGGTGTTTGTTGGTTTATAGCACATTGTGGTATATCGATGCAAAAAGCTGTTACAGCACATTATAATACACGTGTTGCTGAAACCCGGTTAGCAGCTGCTATTATTGCAAGAAAATTAAAAATTGCCGGTTATAAACTTGGTGATCAATTATGGGTTGTACAACAAGCAAGTGCAATTCCATTAGCCGAAATGGGTGAACATTTATCATCAATTTTTGATTTGGAAAAAGAATTTTATACAAAATCCGATATTTGTTCCATACTTGGTTAGTTGATGAACAAACAATTTGAATTTTTCAATCAATGTAATTTTTTCTTTTAAAATCCTAATTCTTGAAACAGGAATCGATACAAATGAAATGGAAAAAACATTTTTATCACGTGTAAGCGAACCGATTGAAGAATTTAAACTTTATCAACGAGCTAAACATGTTTATGATGAAGCATATCGTGTACAAGAATTTCGACGAATTTGCGATACAACTAAAGATGTCGAACATCTTGGACAATTAATGATTGAATCACATGAAAGTTGTCGTGATCTTTATGAATGTTCATCACCACAATTAGATGAATTAGTTGCGCTGGCATTGGAAAATGGTGCAATTGGATCACGTTTAACCGGTGCTGGTTGGGGTGGTTGTACTGTTAGCCTTGTTTATGAAGAAAATGCTCAAGATTTTGAAACAATTTTATCAAAAAATTGTAAATTTGTTTGCCGTACAAATCCTAGTGGTGGAGCTATAATTTATCAAATTTAAATATATAAAATTCTAATCAATTAATTAATCAATCACAATCAATCAATCAACATACCCTTTTTTCCATTCAAAAATATGATGATTATGATGAATTTTTTCATTATTATTTTATGATTTTTGTTTTTTTTGAAAATTTCGCTAGCTTCCAGATTTTGATTGTATTTTGAATTCTCTATGTATAATGGAAAAAGAATACTTTAATTTAATTTAATCCAGGTGTTTATATTTTATTTTTTTTTAAATGAAAATCACTTGAAAATTGACTTTTGAAAACATTAAATGGTTTGTTTTCAATTTTCAAAAACTAGATGGCAGTTATAATCGTTTATAAAATGAATTGTAAAATTGTAAATTTGATTCTGCCATTTAAAAAAAGAACACAATTCTTGAGACATCCAATAATTAAATAGAATTTTATTCTCAATTAAAATATTATAATTAGTAAAATATTATATAATACAAATATTATCAACGTGGTTTGATTTTTTATAGTTCAATACCATTTGACTTTGTTTTTTTAAAAAAAAAGAACAAAAAAAAATCAATTTTTCAAATGTTTTTTAAGATGATAATGATGAATAAACACTAAAGATCAGATTTTTTGATGAGCTGTGATTTGATGATTGTAACATCAATGCCAAAAAAAAGGTATAGTCGATGGACGACGAATCAATCAATCGATGGATGCTCAATAGCTAAAAATGAGAAGAGAAAAAGAATTGAAATTGAAAAAGTTCACCAGTTTTGCTTAGTCATCATCATCATCATCGTCAACAATAACATTTCATTCATTTTTTGGGTCATAAATAAATTCATAATTTTTTTTAACCCAGACTACCAGAAAACTATATGGTTGATGAAATAAAAATAAAAAATTACCAGTCTGGTATGACGACCGTTTTTTTTATGATTGTGTTGCCATTCATATCATGTATGTTTAGGCTATACGAACCCTTTTTTTTGTTACTATAGTTTGTTTTGGCAATTATTTTATAGCTAGTTCATGATGATTTATTCACAAATGTTCAATTTTTATTTATTTATTTTTCTTCAGTTTTCAAGATAATAAAAAATATAGCAATAACCAAATAGAAAAACGAAACCCCACCAAAGACATCTATACACATATATAAATTTGATCATTATCAATGTCATCAAATAAAATAACCCCTTGACCGTTATAAAGTTAGTTGTTGTTAATCAATTCAATCATCAGCATCTATATCAATTCTTATTTGAATTAAATTAGATTCTATAGAATAACTTACTGGACATGTGTACAAGAGGGAATGAAAATTTTCCCACTCACCACTATCAAATCAATTGAAATTGATTATTCAATGTTCAATTTACTTTTCAGTTTGTTTTTTGGGTTCGTTTCAGAATTCAATTCACCAAAATTCAAGTGTATCGAATCTGATTTGACACACACTCAAACAATTCAGAGAATAAGATGATGATGGTGATAATGAAAGGCCAAAACAAAACAAAAAACATTAAAGAAAAGGAATGTCATCATCAAAGTTTGATACGGTACTCAACCAAATCAAGCAAAGTTTGTTGAAATAAAAACTGGACAGAATTGATGGTAGACGAGGAAAACTAAAAATCGATTCAATCGAATCGATCCAACAAAATGAAATGGGTAATTTTGTGAAACTTTTGATTTTTGTGATTCATTCAAGAGGTTATCGGGTGTTGATATCGATGATGATGGTGATGACATTTTTTTTACAATCAACTTACCAAGCTATTTTCATTCACAAACCAGAAAAAAAATTTGAATTTGAATTTTGCCAAGTTATCATCATCATCATTATTATTCTGATTTGATTTGTTCCTATATGTAAAGAGCAAAAAAAAAAACGATCAATAAAAATCATTCAATTCAACAAAGATCAAAAATCATACCATCAATGAAGGTTGTTTAATTTTGATTATGGATGACGTTGAATTCTGGCCGGATGATGATGATGATGTAGTAGTAGTAGTGGTAGAATTGAATTTCAATGAATTTTGATTTAATAAATCCATTTGATTCAATAATTTATTGTTGTTGTTGTTGCTTTGGTTGTTGTTGTTGTTGTTATTAGAATCACGATATTCAAATATAACTGAATTAGAAATAATAATATTATTACAAGAAACTTGTAATGTTATTAAACCCGATTGATGTTTTGGACTAAAACATCTTAATAAACCATTCTGTATTAATTCTGTTTGTACTGGAATTGAATCAAATAAAATTGAATAATGATTATTTGAATTTGGATCATTATACCAGGGGCCAGCAACAAGAACTTTTATACCACCTATATTTGAAAAAAGAAAAGAAAAAAGAAATGTTTTCGGGAAAAAAATTTAATAAAAACTTTTCCAAATCAATTTGAAATTAATCAAGGTCAACACATACATGTCTGCCTGTGTGTCAAAAGTTTAAACCACTTGACTTTTTTCAATAACTTTTTTTTCTTTAAAAATTTTCCAACATTTACAACCTACACAAACACTGACTATTATTGAATTTTGAAAAACTTTTTTTCGTCTTCGTTTTTTGTTTTTGTTTTCTGATAAATCACATAACTTTAAATGGATTCTAAATAAACTAAAAAAGGAAATTTTCGGAAAGAAAATTAACCCTTAAGATACTTCCAAAAATGTAAATGTAAAACAAGACAAAAATATCAATTCTAGATTGGTCATCATCATTATTATTATTATGTAACCAACGAGAGAAAAACAAAAATGGAATTGAAATATTATCTTTATTTCTAGAGAAAGAAAAAAATCATTATGATTATAAATGAACGAAAAGAGATACATAAAATTCGTACAATCAGATAATCTATTTCAGTAGAAAAAAAAGGGACAAGAATTTCAACTAAAGAGAGATTAGCTAGAAACAAAATCTAGACTAGATTCTTCTGGATAGACGTGTGTGTAGGGCAAATTCCATATACAGAATATCTTTTTTTCAAAACTAACCAAACACGTTTTTCAATTCAAAACCACACATAGACACACACACAAAATGATTATTAATTTGACTATATAATAATAATGATTCTGGATTCTGGTTTTGTCATTGTCTATTTCTTTTTCTGAAAATAATCATTATTACCTTGAAAAAAAGAATTGGAATTGGAAATTGGATCACTGAATTATGTATCATCAGTATTATCATTTTGAAATCAAAATGAATATTTCCCAACAGAATTGTTTGATTTTTTTTCTGCTACGGCTACTGCTACGGTCTGAATATCATCATCATCATCATCATATTCAGATCATTATACAGGAGAAATCTTTTTTTTTCCAAAGCTATTTCAACACAACCGTAATCATCATCATAATGTGTTACTAAGCATATAATTCTTGGCTAGAATAATAATAATAAAAAAACTTACAGGGCGACTATTTTCAACGATTAATACCATTTTTTGGATATTTTTTCTGGTTGGTCAGTTAGTTAGTTAGTTAGTTATTTAGTTGATCAGTGCAAAAGAAATATGGAAGCGATAAAACAAAAACAAAAAAAAGGAAAGCGAATGAAGTCAATTATTTCGATTCATTAAATTCTGCAGAACACACATATATAGAGAATACAGTTTCTGTATGTTTTTCTCGATCATTCTATCATGGAATATTCTGTTCATGGAATATATTTTCAATAAAAAAATGCCGTTGATGATAATAATAATATCCGTACAGCAAGAAAATTATTATTATTATTTTTGTTTCAACTAGGTGAGAAAAACAATCCAGAAAAACCTGGAGTTAAAAAAAATGAATGAATTTTGTTTTTGAAATGAAAAATATAATTTTTGTTTGCTTTGCTTCGGTTCATTAGGTTGATTTTACCTTTGTCTCTCTCACTGACTTTAATTTTATACAAATATATTTGCTATTCATTGTATATTCTATTTAATTTGATTTCTGGTTATTACGACGAAAATCCAGAAATTATTTAGCCAAAAAAAAGAAAAAAAAATTCATCTGCTTTTTATCTGTTTTTATCCTGAAACAATATTTCATCATTATCGTCATAAAAAGATACTGACCAACCGACCGACCGACCAAAATAAATAAATAAAAAAAACATTCACCAGGCCGATGGTCATCGAAAATTCAATTAATTTTTATTGCCATAACCGTTTTTTCACTATCGTACCAAAGGTTTTGCTACTATTTTTTTTTCATTATCATTATACATTTCGATACAAAAATAATAGTCATAAAGTCTGTAACGACAACGATAATAACGATGATGATGATGATTAAAATAAATAGCTATTGAATTTCATTGGTTATCATTATTATTTTTAGGGCCATCGGGTTATATAATGGAGTTTTCTCTGAGGGGAAAAAAAAGGGATAACTTTAATTCTGTTAGTTGATTTTAGTCATCATCATCATCATATTCTGGATCAAACTATCAAACAAGGATTCAATAAACTTATGATTGATACTTGTCACATGATGATTATAAAGATTATCAAACAAACAAACGAGAAAAAAAAACCAGGTCAACAAGATTGAATAAACAAAAAAAGTAAATTGAAATTTATTTATCTATTTTTTTTCTTCCTGTGTGTAATGGATCATTCTATTTTCCTGGGTTCCAGAAATCATTTTTCTTCCTTCGGTTGATCCATTTCGATCTATATATGGTAATTATTCTGGTTTAGACTGATAAAAGTTTTTAACCAAATAAGGAAAGAAGACTGTTCTTGTTTGTTGTGTTGATTTTTCATCGTTATGATCGGATGACACGCGATATAATATGAAATTACAAAAAAAAATTACATACAAACTACACACTTACTTACTTACTTATTAACTAGAAATTTTCACACACTTAAATGACAAAAGGTTAATGATTTCATGTAATATCATTTTACTCAAAGAATCATTAGGAATTTTTTCTTAGATACCGAATCAAGTCAATGAACTAAAAATAAATGAAAATGCTTTTTTTTTGCATATTGCACTTCACACAGGTAATATAATCAGTAGAAGAAGAAGAAAAATCAATAAATAAATGCAATAATAATAATAATGATTATTACCTATCATGAAACTTGAATTACTTTCTTTTTTTTTGATGAAATTTAGAAAAAAAAACAACTTTTTTAACCCTTTCTTTTCTTTTTTGTTTTGTTTTATGGTCGGTTTGAGAAAATTTATGAAAAAAAACGAAAAAAACATTACCTTCAGTATAACACCATTCCGGTGAATAATCGGTTATTTGATTCAAAATACCGCTATTTAGATTTGGATTTTTTAACATTGTTTCTGAATCGATAATTATTTGTTGTTGTTGTTGTTGTTTTGGTTGTTGATTATGATTGTTGTCGGATAATAATAATGATAATGATTGTCGTTGTTGTTGTTGTTGTGATAGCCGATATTCATTATTATTATCATTATTATTATTATTTTTCATTGATGATGATGAAAATAAATTACATGAACTTAATTGTCGTTTTAATAATGGATAGTTATTATTATTATTATTATTTGTTGTTGTTGTGGGCGTTGCAGTAGCAGGCGTATCGATTATACTAATAATTGATGACGCCTTTTTTGTTGTTGTTGTTGTTATTATAGATAAATTTCCATTCTCATCAACATTGACGTCAATAGGTGTTGCGGTATTTTTATCATTACAACCAGTACTACTACTGCCATTATCATCATTTGATTTTCCTGTCAAACAAAAAAAAACAAACTATAAAGTTAATTTTCAATAACAAATCAATCAATCCAAAACTTACCGGAATTGGCTTTTTCATTCGATGAATTTAATATGTCTTTTGATTTAGATTTATCAGTGGTTGTTGTCCATAATTCTTGTACACAAATTGGTATCCGATCATTATCATCATCATCGGTATCATCTTCATCGTCATCACCATTATCATTATTATCATCATCGGTGGTTGTAATTGAAAAATTTTCATCAAAAATTAATTTTGAATTTTGCTGTCGTTGCTGATTGAATGTATCATCTTTTGATTTAATATTAGTTTTTTGTTTAAAATTATTCGTACGATATGTTTCCGATGATGGACGTATTATTAAATTTGTTAAATGTCGTCTTTTATCTTCATCATCATCATTATCATCACGATTTTTATTAATATCATTAATGGCAGTGACTAATGTTTCATTAGTTTGATTACAGTGATCATTTGTATTCAAAACATCTACATTTTCATGGTTATTTGAATCTGAAATTATATTATGATCATCATCATCATTATCATCATCTAAATGATCATCAAATTCACCAAACATATCAAATGTTTCAAGATTAAATAAAATTTCATCCGATGTTGCTATATCATCATGATCCATAAAATCAATTGTATTCGATGTTGTCGATGTCGATATTATATTATTACCATTATTATCGCAGTTATTATCATTATGATGATTACCACCGATAATAGTTATTTGGCTATTTAAACTAAAATCACCATCACTTTGTGTAGAAATATTCATTAAATCATTTTTATTTAAATGATGATGACAATTTTGTTGTTGTTGTTGTTGTTGATTTGATGATGATAATAATATTCGATTATCAATAAGATTTATTGATTGATTTTCATTTATAAATGAATTATGATTTGAATGTAACAAAGCTAATCGATTATTATTATTATTTTGATTATAATTAACCGAATTAATTAAACTATCACGACCAATTATATGTGGATGAGATCTTTGTTTAGACATCAAATGACAATTCGCATTCAATGTATTTGTTGCTGTTGATTGATTATCATTATCAATATTATCAAATAATGACGTATCAAATGTATCAAAATTATTATTATTGTCATAACTTGAATTATTTGTTGTTGATAATTTTGAATCTAAACAATGATGTTGTTGTAAATAATTTCCATTATTACTATTACCAACAATAACAAGCTGGTTAAGATTTGAATGATTTGGTTGTTTTTGTTGTTGTTGTTGATGTCCAAATGATAAATGATGTTCAGGTGTTGATGCATTACTTGTCGATATTAACATTGATTCTTCATCATCTAAATGAAATGTATTTGCATTCGAATCCAATTCGTTTAATGTATCCATTTCAATTTCAGCCATTTGTATATCATCATCATTATTATTATCATTAATCGATGATGATGATGATGGTAATGTTATATCCGTAGCAGCAGCAGTAAAAATTGGTGTCATCACAGAATTTTTTGAATTTGTCAAAGGACAAAACATTTGATTATCTGTTGGCTGTTGTTGTTGTTGTTGAATTCCAACATTAATCGGCACTTTAAATGTACAAATTGATTGCTGCTGATGTTGAGGTTGATGTAACGATGTCGATGATGATGATGATGTTAAATCAGTTAATTTAGATATATTTTGTTGTTGTTTAGGTGTTGTTGTTGTTGTTAACATCATTGTTGTTGTTGTTGCTGCTGATGCTGATGCTGCGGCTGCTGAATTCATTGAACCGGTACGATTACGATATGTAACAAATGTTATTGGTTGTTGTTGACCATTTGATTGTTGTCTTTGTTGTTGTTGTTGTTGTTGATTAAGTATTATAAAACTAGATTGTATTTGTGACATATTCAATATCAATGATGTTGATTGTTGATGTTGTTGTTGTTGATTTATTGATGAAGCTTTTTCAAATGTAATCGAATGTGGATGTTGTTGTTGTTGTTGAAAATGATGATGATGCGGATGTTTTGAATGATGTAATTGATGTCCATGATGATCAATTGCACCCGAAGCGGTTGAACCAGAAGCAGCAGTTAATTGACACATTGCTGTATTTGCAGATGTCAATTGCACTAGCTGAACAGTATTCTTCAATTTTTTTTTAGAAAAGGAAAAAATTTAAAAAAAATTTCAATTAATTTTTTAGAGAAATTTTCCAGAAAACAAAAAAACTTTTCGCAAATTAATCCAGAAAAAAATATCATCATTATTTAATCGACAATGATTTTCGTTGCCTCACCCTTTCAAACAAACAAAATAAACATTTATTTTTCTGTTTTCTCATTTACATAAATACACCATCAATATATTTGAATTTTCACATTGGATATTATGTTGTTGACAATTTTTTTCTTCATTGTCTACAAAAATTCAATTTCATCATTTCCCAGAAACAAACAAAACAACAGTAAATAACAAGATTATATGATAGAAAGAAGCAAACAAGCAAGCAGGCAGAAAAATGTATCTAAAATTAATCACTCGACGACAACCTTGGTGGTTTCTGTCCTGTTTTTTTTTATTTTGTTTTTCTGGGAAATGGGGAAATAAGGGGGGTAACATTTATCAATTTACGCCCACACATACACAGGCACTTACAGTTATTATTATTATTATAGGGATAAATTTTCTATTTCGATGTCTATTTTGACAGTTTTAGTTTTTCGTTTATCACAAGTTTGTTTAGAAAAAAATAAAAAATATTATGTCATAACCAAAAAATATGGAATATTCTCTCTCTCTCCTCACACACATTTTTCACCCCCCACCTACATCACCCGAAAAAAACCAAAAAACATTTTATCCAATTTATTCAATGTCTGTTTGATTGCTATGTGTTTTTGGGTAGGTTGTCTATGTCTGGTCTGATTGAGACTGTGTTGGTTGAACTTATCATTTTTTCTGGGTTTTTAAGGTTTGTTTGACCACACCCAAACACACACACTGATGAATCATTAAGAAACAGTATAGATCCGGTTTATGAATGTCATCATCATCATTATTATGACCAGAACCCAATCAAAAATTATCAATCATTTAAACTAACTTTTTAAGAAAAAATTGTCATTATTCTGTTCGAAAGGTTAGAATTATCTCGAAAGAAAAATAATCGATAAATCTTTTAACCACACCAGACAACCACAACAAAAACGATAAGAGGATAATTTGAAAGGCAAAAAAAAACAAAAACAAATTTCCATATCAATCAACTTTTTTGTTTTCAACCTGATCACAAAATTTTTCATTGGTTCATGGTTGACAGTTATGCTGATAAGACATTCGACTGATAAAATCATAAAATGTTTCAATGAAATTGGAATCAATGAAAATTAATTATCCAATCAATTTTGTCGTCATCGTCATCGTCGTCATTGATTGACTTTTTCCCATTTCTCCATGATCATCATCAATTCAATTAAACAATATCATAGATATTCTGTAGATCATTCTGATGATGATAATAATGAAATTTGAAAATAAGAAAATATGATCGAAAATCTAAATGGCCAACCATTATCATCTGGCCGAAAAAAAGAGAAAGGACATTATCGAGTTCAGCATCAATTTTCGGCCGATAATATCATGATAATAAATTTTTTTCAAGAATTTTCAATAGAATCATTTTTTTTTAAAACATCCATTCAAGTTTTATTTTTCACTTTCCTGAAAAGTTTGTCGAGAAAAAATTTCTTTTGAAATTTTGAACGGCTAACCTTTTTTTTTCATTTCACAATGATAATTTTATCACATCATCAATGAATGAATGAATGAATGAATAATGTGCCTGTAAAGAATCTTTTCAATTTAAAATTTTCATTTCTATTATTCACTTTTCATCAAGTCAATTGAATATTGAATGGAGGGGGAAAAAAATGGACAAAGAAGAATTCTCTTTCTCTCACCAGCAATAAAATAAAATGAAATGAAAAAAAGAATTTGCAGACAAATGGTTCATTCACATCATAATCATAAAATATCCAAAATTCAATGTTTGTCATAGTCACTTCTCAACTTAGTCTATGAAAAACTCCGTTGAAATGCATTAATTTTGCTAATTAATTAGAAAAAAACATAACATACCGTTAAAGAATTCTGTGATTGATTTTGATGATTATTATTATCCATTTGTTTTAAACAATTTTGTTGTAAAATAATATTCTGTGAATTACCATTATTCAAATCAATAATATTATCATTATTTGTTGTAATCGATGATATATCTGGTTTCAATGTTGATGATGATTTTTTTGATAATGTTTGTGCATCCATTATTTGTCCCGATGAAAGACTTGTAAATATTTGATGTGTTTTTATTTGTTGTTGTTGTCGAATTAAATCATTATTTGATTGTTGATTTTTAAAATGATTCGATAATGTTGTTGTTGTTGTTGTCGATGTCATTGTTGTTGTTGATGATGATGTGGCCAACGATATTATCGATTCTTCCAATGTTTTTAATCGTACACGTTGTTTGATTAATAATTGTTGTACAATTAATTCAATTGTATCCAATGTTGATCGTTCTAATTCATCATCAATTTCACCATTTTCTTTTTCATTTACAGTAAAAACTATATTTTTATAGAAAACAAAAAAAAATTAGTCAAAAAAAATCAATTTTTTTTATCAACCTAACCTCACTTGACTATGAATCGCATAGTCATATTCATCAACCTAACCTCACATGACTATGAATCATAGTCATAGTCATAGTCATCAACCTAACCTCACTCGACTATGAATCATAGTCATAGTCATAGTCATCAACCTAACCTCACATGACTATGAATCATAG